TTGGGTGTATGTGGCTGGCGCCTTAGCCACTTGAGCCACAGGCGCCGAGCCTCTTCACTGGTCTTCTTGAGAAGGCCCCTGAAATTTCCTCAGACATGTGATGTTTGCGATACAAGAATGATTCTCAAAATTTTGGCCTCAAGATTCCACCACACTCAACAGTTATTAAAGGCCCAAACAACCTTTCCTTATGGAGACCGATTATCATTATATACCATACTAGAGAGGAAGTAATTAAAACATTTATCAATTATTTTTTTTAAAATAACAAATCCGTAAAATTTTGACATAAATAATATAGTTGTAAAAAATAACTATTTTCAAAAAGAAAAAGTTGGTAAGAAGAAGAGCATGGTTTAGCATTTCTGAAAATGTTTTTATATCTGAATTACTAGAACATAGCCAGATTTTCCTATCTCAGTCTCTTGCAATACATTACTTAGGTTGAAGTACTTGAAGAAAATTCAGCCTCATCTATGACATATAGTTGAACAAAAGGAGAGTATTTTAATAGTATATTTAGATACTTTGTCTATTCTATGATAACTACACCAAAAATTGACAAGCTGTAGTTTCTTAAGCATCATTTGCAATGTGGAAATCCAAACCCATATCAATGAACTTTTCATACCATCTGTACACATGGGAAAATCAGAATGAAAAAGGAATACCTAGATCTAAGTATTATGATTAAAAGTAATTTTGACCTTAATGGCTCCCTAAAAGGGCCTGGTGGATCCTTCAGGTTCTCTGGAATACAGCTTGAGAATTATTGTTATAGATTCCTGGTATTTAGCCTTTATCAAGTCAGAAAAGGGCTCTGATTTGTTTTGTATTTTTTTTTATCATCAATAGACATTATCCATCATGAAGTGCATTTTCTGCAACTATTGAAGTAAGTAATTGTTTCCATTAATTACCAATACAAAGAACTATAAAGATAGATGTTTCTGATATTAAACTGTTCTAGAATCCTTGGCAAAAACCTTAGTTGATCGTAAAGAACATGTTGTTATTTTTTATCCCAACTGGAATCACTTACCTATTTTTTTTTTTTTTTTTTGAGGCAGAGCCTCAAGCTGTCCCCCTGGGTAGAGGGCTATGACATCATAGCTCACAGCAACCTCCAACTCCTGGGCTCAAGCAAGTCTCCGGCCTCTGCCTCCCAAGTAGCTGGGACCACAGGCGCCGCCACAACGTCTGTCTGTTTTTTGGTTGTAGCATCATTGTTATTTGGCGGGCCTACGCTGGATTCGAACCCACCACCTTAGGTGTATGTGGCCAGCGTCTTAGCCACTTGAGCCACAGGTGCCGAGCCACTTACCTATTTTTTATCCCAACTAGAATCACTTACATTTTTCCTGTTTGCTCTTTCTCGCTGGGATGTTACCACCCTGCCTAGCATGTGTGTGAGTGGGTAGAGACCAGTTCTAGTAGGCACCATCTCCAACGGGTTTAAAGAGGTAGGATGTATAGGGCAGAAGGGGAAATGGACTCCAGGACAGAATCTACAACACTGCTGTCTAGACTGAAGCCCCAATCGCTGCTTTCAGGATACTTGGCTCTCCTGTACTGCCTCCCCTCCCCCTATTTGATTCCCAGAGTTTTTGTTGGGTTTTTGCAGAGTGTGAAGATGCTGCAGAGAATGAAACCAGAGGACTTGCTATGTTATCTAGCCTCTGTGCAAATCTTGGCCACAGCCCTGCAGAGCACTGGTACTGGCCTCTCTCAGCTCTGTGCTCCTCCACCAGCCCTGCTGAGTTAGTCTGACTCTGACCATGTTTCTGGCAGACAATGATCCCTCTCCAGGGGTGATAGAACAAAGAGCTCTTTCCATCTTCCCCAATGGCAGCCTGGCACTTCCACATTGGGGCAGCCAATTTATTCCACAGCACTCTCACGGTCCCAATGGGGGTCTCAGGATTGGGAGGAGAAGACAGGAAGCCCCCTCCTTCACATTGCCCACAACCAAGGGGCCAACTCAGAAAACACCACATAATTGGCCATGCCAGCTGAGAGGGCTTTCCTGTGCCTTGGAGCTGAGAGTTTAGGAGATCCAGACAGAGGGTGGAGGGAAACTTCCAGGCCACACAGGACAGGTGGCAGGGCTGGCCTATCAGTTGTGCAGCTCTAAGGCTTTAGACATGTACTCAAGGACACTCAATTTCTGAGGCATCCACCTCAGGACAGGCACAGCAGGGCAAATCATGACGAAATGACCAGTAAAGCAAGGTGCTGGGTGGAAGCACCACCCTCCCCTCTATTCTACATCTCCCACTGGAAGTCCCCTGAAGACGCCTTCACGGGGACCCTACCACCTCCCCACAGCCTGAGCTGCTCCGACTCTGAGGAGCAGACTTGTTCCCCCACCACATGGCTGCCAGGCAAACCCATCCCTTCCCTCAGGTTGCACAACTGGGAGAGGTGACCTGTGGATGAAGAAAACACTGGTGTCCAGGAAGGGCTCTTTCGGAGTTTTGTGGGGGAAATGACCTGAGGGACTGTCCTAGGGCACGTTTTCTGCCCTTCCATGACCCCAGTGGGGAAGAATCAGTATAAATAGAAGCCTGATGCCTGGCAGGCAGAGACCAACAGCTCTGCTCCACCAGAAATCAGGTGAGCAAATACTCCAAAGACTCTTTATAACTTACTCTGCCTTCTCTTTCAAACAAGCCTGGGATCTCCTTTTAAAAATACTTATCTTGCTTTTGACGTATCTGGTGTGAGTTCTGTGCTGGGCAGAGGGAACACGGTGGGTAATTCTCCTCAGTGAACTGCGGGCTCCTCCAGGGAGGGGCTTGCCTGTCCTAACTCCCCTCTGCCTCCACCTGGGCCACCTGAGATCCTCCCACACAGTCAGGGCTCAGGGCTGAGGGGCCACCCCTGAGGGCTTGTGGCTCCCCGTGATGACCTCCTGTAGGGCTTCCTAGCTGAGCCACCAAGATTCCAATGAGAAGAGATAGATGTAAACAACCCGGCTCCCTGAGGGATACAAGGGGGGTGTGCCCGTCTGGACAGTGACTGCCTGACCCTCTCCTCTCATTTCAGCACCATGAAGCTCCTCACGGGCCTGATTTTCTTTTCCTTGATCCTGGGAGCCAGAGGCTTGCTTTCATTCCTTGGTGAGGCTGCTGGAGGTAAGCCTGCTGGAGGAGACACATCCCAGGACCTGAGGATTCACCCTGGAGGAAGGTCCCCGTGCCTAGTGGCTGTGGGTGATCTCTGGAGGAAGCACAGAGAGGCAGAGAGGAACAAGACTTCCCATCAGTAGTGCTCCAGCTGCTCAGGGAGGCACTGACCCCTCCCTGTAGGGTCCCCAGCTCCAGGTCAGCAGTGGCTACTGTTCTCAGGTCAGGTCAGGTCAGATTCTGGGTGGCCCTGGGGTGCCATGCTGCCCCCTGGTGGTGCATTGCAAAGGCACAGACCCCACCCAGGATCCCTGGGAGTCTGCACAGTGAGTCTGGGAGGGAGAAGACACACAGGACTTCTGGAGAGAAATACCACCCCGACCTGATAAAGTGGCATGACGATGCTTCCTGAAGGCTGTCTGTAAACTTCCAGAGTTAGTTTCTGTGTTGCTACAGGACTGTAATGAACTGAGGGTGTGCTGGATGGCCCATCTCAGACCGCTGAGGTTTTCTGAAATGTGTCCTTTCTCCTTAGATCAGTGTTTGTCAGGGTGTGTTTTGGATCAATCTTCTGTTCCAATGTTTATCGATGAACACACACTCCTGAGCCATCGGTGTGTTGGGGGGTGATCAGGAACAACAAACCACGCAGGATTTTGTGAAGAGGTTAAACCTTCAGTGACTGTCTCAGGTTGTTCTGTCTGGGGGCTGCTGAACAGATTGGAATGTTTAGATTTTTTGTCATTCACTTACTCAGAGAATGAAGAGTCATCATTCACAGGTGAAGCTAAGCTATCTGTTTTGGCTAGAACACTAAGACATAGCCTGAAAGATCAGTATTCCTCCCTCCCTTGCCCCCTTCCTTCACTCCCTGCTTTCCTCCTTCCTTCCTTCCTCCACCTTTTCCTGGTTGGATGATTTCAAGCAGCCTTCAGCCTAGCTCTGACAGTGTCTCCCTTCCTGGCTAGATCTGTTTCTCCCCCTTTCCAGCCTACTCTATAGGAAATGGGAACTGACATGCATCACATTCTGCAGGGAACTGAGTATTTTCTCATTTCATTTCAGAATACCTCTGAGGCAGGCAACTTCCCCCACTTTGGAGGTGAGAAGACTGAGGCTTAGAGCAGCTGAGTCCTTGGGTGTTAGCATCAGTCAGCAGGGACCAGAGCAGAGGTTTGAGGCCAGCTGTGCAGGTGGGCAAAGCTCTTGGCAGGTGGATATGTCTGCCTAGCACTTCCTAGAGCTGGATGGGTTATGGATCTCAGCTGCAAGCTGGAGACCCCTGCAGAGCATTGCAAACTACCCACCCCTGGGACTCCCCAGCAGACAGTGTGTAGAAATAAGCCAGAGTGTGGCCTGGGCTTTCTGTACATCTCCAGGTGAGTAGGAAGTGCAGCCAACACTGCAAGCCAGTGCTCTGGTGCTTCCTCATGGAACCCACAGCCAGATGTCAACATCGCCTATTTAGACAGTTTTTAGGGACCTTTATGCCCCTAGCAGTCAGGGATATTCAACTCACAGTAATGTGCATTCAGTTCGCAAGGATATATATTTTAAGGGGTCAGGGTTGAAGTACTCTATGTCTGCAACCTTTCTCAGAACGTGTCTTGCATGTTACCACCTCACTGACATATACGCCTGGATCTAACCATGTGCAACTTCATTCCATAACATTGGTTCTTGCCCCAAGTCAGTTTATCTGAAGATGTTTGTAAGGGTTACCGTGGGAGATTGTACTGCCAGTATCTAATGCATAGAGGCCAGAGATGCTGGTAAACAATGTAAGATTCTTGGGATCACCCTGAATAACAATTACCTTGCCCATATTTCCTCGGTGTAGTGAGTGAAGAATCCTATTCCATGAGAACCTCTCCATTCTGTCCCCCAAATACTTCACCTGGAACCCAGAGTTAGAAGTATCCCATAGCACCACAGTAGTCAGGCAGCACAATACAGCACACATACGGCCACCCACACAGCTCTCAATTCACTCAAGTTTCCTGGAGAAGCCAACTAGGATTGAGGAATGTTCCTCCCAGTCCATGGCATCCAAGGGTGCTAGGATCCCAGGCTCATATCTTCCAGTCAGTGCGATACTTTTCATTCTTTATTCCTCTCTAAGGTGTTGTCAGAGTCTTTAGATTCACCTGCTGTCCCTCTGTTGTTTCCTTTCCTTTCCAGGGGCTTGGGACATGTGGAATGCCTACACTGACATGAGAGAAGCCAATTACATAGGTGCAGACAAGTACTTCCACGCTCGGGGAAACTATGATGCTGCCCAGAGGGGACCTGGAGGCGCCTGGGCTGCAGAAGTGATCAGGTAACTGGAGCTCCTAGGGATAACAATATGGGTGCCAGAGGTTTGCCTGCAGAGAAGGACCCTGAGCAGATTGCTGTAGGGCCTGGGCCCCTCCTCATACCCACCCTGTCCCCCATTCATGCCCAGTGCAGATCCTGGGCTGCTGGTAGAGCCAGGGCATGGCTGCCCCCAGAAAGCCAAGGGAAGGGCCGTGGAGTGATCCCCAGGCCTCTCCCTGTGGGTGCTGCTCTTTTTCATAAGGGTGCTGAACCACGGCTGAGGACAGCTGACCATGCCTTCTTTGGTCTTCTGGGGCTCCTCTCTGAGCCATGGGAAAGAGAAGCATGGAAGGATGGAGTCTTGCTTATTGGCCTGGCGAGTAATGTCCTTGTCTGCCTCCATCACAGCAATACCAGAGAGAAAATCCAGTCCTGGATGGGCCATGGAGCAGAGGACACGATAGCCGACCAGGAGGCCAACGAATGGGGCTAGAGTGGCAAGGACCCCAATCACTTCCGACCTGAAGGCCTGCCTGACAAGTACTGAGCTTCCTCTTCACACTGCTCTCAGGGAACCGGGCTGTGAGCCCCTGAGGGCTGGGACACAGGGTTATTGCGTTCTGTGTGCACAAAACTTGTAGAGGGCAAGCAATAGGTATCTAATCAATGCTTAAGAGATTGAGTTTGTTGCAAGTGTGTAAGAACTGCCTGTTTGATAGGAAGGGCTGGTCCATGAACACCCATGTGTAGGTGTCAGGTGTGCTTGGGTGTTTGGGTGTAGGGAAGATAATCTTAGCAGTCACCCCAATCTTATGCATGTACCAACCCCTCCCTGAATCAGACTGTCTTCCCTCTCCAGGTCCCTGTGGTTCCTTTGTTGCTATTTCCAGGCCTTTCCCTCTCCAGGCCCCTTCATTCCCTATCAATCAGGTCTTGTTACCTTGCCCTCCCCCAGCACAGCCCCTCATCTAATAAAGGCTTCAGAGATTGACTTTGTTGAAACTGTGTGTCATCTTTGTGGTAGAAAGTGTCTTTGTGGTATGAGGGGTGCTCAGTGAACACCCAGATGGAGGTGGAGCCCAGGCCTGTGTGTTAGGCATGGGGAGACAACCACTGTGGTCAGTCACACAGCATGTCCCAAGCCTGGGACAATTTTGTGATGAGTTCAGTGGCCACCCCCCCAAGGCAATCCCAGGACATTGGGCAGCGTCCTAGCCCTTCTCCCTTTGGGCAACTTCCCAGTGAGTTTGCAGGCCCCCAGCTGCAGTTCAGTGACTTTAACTGCACCCCTGCAGCCTTCTGCCCACACATCAGTGGGAGGTTCTGGATTTGTTAGCTTCGGCTTGTGGCACCCAGCAACCTTTTTCTGCCACCCTGTGGACTACTGCACACCCTCCAGCAAGATATAAATCTCAGCCTGTGACGGGCCCTTTCCCAAACTTGTTTCTTCCTGTCTGTCCTCTTTATCCCTTAGTCACCTTATTCCTTAGTCTCTTATCCCTCGATCCTCTGTTACCAGTTAATAACTCTTTGTGTGAAACCCTCTTATATGTGTGGCAACACAGAGCAGATGTCTCTCGTGTCTCACCCACCCACCTCTTCCCCTGGTCACCCTGAGGCCTCCCCAGTTGCTTTGCTGCTGTTCCTAGCCACCCTGTGTCCAGGCATCTTTCCTGTCCAGTCAGTGCTGTCTGTCCCCTTCCATGCCTTCAGACCTTGTCCCTCAGTGGCCTGTTTCCAGTAGGCTTTGGGAAGCCTAATCCTGGGGGACCTGGCAACTGTTACACTGGTCTCATCAACAATAGCCTCTATGCCTGATCCAATTTTTTTTTTTTTTTTTTTTGAGACAGAGTCTCAAGTTGTCGCCCTCGGCATTATAGCTCACAGCAACCTCCAACTCCTGGGCTCATGTCATCCTCTTGCCTCAGTTTTTCTGTTTTTAGTAGAGATGAGGGACTCGAATTTTGCTCAGGCTGGGCTCAAACCCGTGAGCTCAGGCAATCCACACACCTTGGCCTCCCAAATTGCTAGGATTATAGGTGTGAGCCACTGCACTGGCCTCCTGATCCAATTTTTAAAAATTTTTTTTTGATTATACCTAAAGAATGGTTCTCACATGAGTTTCCCTCCTCTTTATTGCCACTGCCTTTAAATTCAGATCTAGGCAAAAATTCCACTTCTGGAAGCGCCTTCCCAGTAGCCACAAGCCACATTCTGGGAGTCTGTGGCTCCCAAGCCCTTGGGTCATATTTGCTGGGGCATCTGTACCCCTCCCCCAGAGCTGTTTCATGTGTCTGTTCCCTGCTGGACTGCATGCCGCTGTGACCTGACTGACATTTGAACAGTAATTTACAGTTCATAAAGACGCATTCTCGTCTCTTCTCCCGTGTAGCTTTTCATTCACTTGATAATGTCTCTTTTTCTTTTTTTAAAATTTTTTTATTATTTATTTATTTTTGTAGAGACTGAGTCTCACTTTATCGCCCTTCGTAGAGTGCCGTGGCATCACACAGCTCACAGCAACCTCCAGCTCTTGGGCTTAGGTGATTCTCTTGCCTCAGCCTCCCGGGTAGCTGGGACTACGGGTGCCCGCCACAACACCCAGCTATTTTTTTGTGCAGT